TTTATTTATTTATTTATTTTTAAATAAAAGGGTGACAGGATTTTGTCCATTATAGTGGCTGTATTTGTGTACTAAATTTATTCCCCAAATGATGTACCAACATTAACTTGGTGGTGGAAATATCTTTGCTCCAGGAGGTTAACCTGATACTGGATGCAGTGTCCGATTCCCAGTGGCCTCCTGGTTCCTCCGACCGTCCCCTGAGATGGGTGAAGTAAGTCCGCTGGAGAGGGACCACTCCTTGCGTGTTGTGCTCCCAGTGGGGATCGAGAAAAACATTACAGTGCATGGAAGGTACACTCTACTGCTTTCACAAAGCATGGCTGCTGGAATCTGTATGTTTTTCAACATCGTCTCCTTGCAGTAAACCGGTGATGGACTTACTGGTGACGCTCTGTGCAAATCACCATCTGAATCCTTCCGATTACACCATTGAGTTCCTGTCGCCTAACAAGAACATCATCAGCTACAAGCCGAACTCTCCTATCGGTTCGTTGGGAGCTGAGAAGATTTTATTGAAGCTTAAAGGCTCTGAAGATAAAATTAAGAAGCCATACATGCCTGAGGTAAGAATGAACATAAAAGTGTTGAGGGGAAGTTGGGAGGCAAAATGTGTGATTAAATCGCCGTCTTTCTGCTCAGGCGACGGTGCGTTTACTGATCAACTACAATAAGTCCCATAAGACGGTGGTGCGGGTGAATCCCAGACTGCCGCTGGAGGAGCTGCTGCCAGCAGTGTGTGACAAGTGTGAGTTTAACATAACGACAACCGTCCTGCTGAGGGACCCTCAGTCCAAGGAGCCGCTGGACCTGACCAAGACCTTGAATGACCACGGATTGAGGGAGGTGTTCGCCAAAGATATGGTGGCTCAGAACGCTTCGACCGAAGGAGGTATGTCAGGTAACGGAGCAGCAACGGAAAATACAAGGAAAACGACCGTTATAGGCTTTATATTTATATGCTATATACTTCTACACAAGTTTTTTAATCGCTGCTTGAATTCGGCCTCAGGTTCTTTAAATGAATGAATGGCTTCATAAAGAGACAGGAAGGTTTTTGAGGAAGCTGTTAGCTTGAAACATAATAAAAGGTTAAAATCCAAACTGAGCTTTAAACATAATAATCTATTAAACGTTTTCCCGTTAAACCTTTGTGTATAAATCTGTGCTGAAATGTCATGTTTTCTTGTTGCAACAGCTGGAACTCCAGAGATCATCTCACCACCTCCAACACAAGGTAACACGTGCACATAAATCGATGGACGCCATGACTCCAGACGCAGCGCGGCCAATGCCGACATGACATCAGTTTCTAATAAGACCTGTTTGCGTTTCCCAGACTTGCAAAGGAAGGAGAACAAGCAGAAGAAAAGGGGCTTCTTCAGCTTCTTCAGAAGACGGAAAAAAGTCAATGAAACGGTGTGTTTTTGCGCTCTGTAATTAATGTTTTGATTGATAAGCGTTTGTGTTTATTAGCTGGGGATATATTTCACTGTGTGGCAGAATGGGACGCTGAGTGCTCCTACTTCTCCCAGCCGGGGCAAACAAGTCCGAGTCCGTGGGAATTCAGAAAGCCTTTCATCCAATAACACCCTGCCTGCAGATACCGCCAAAAAAAGGCCGGCGCCGCCGCCGCCTGTAGTCGCATCGCAGAGTGTCCCTAACAACCTCAGCACCTGCTACGTCAAGAGAACACAGGTATGCAATATCAGCAAATGGATTCTCTTCCTTTAATATTTTTTTAATGTCATTCCCCCAAATGAAATAAAAACAAAAATCCCTCTAAACCGTTTCTGCAGTCGTCTGCAGAATCTACTTTAAGGAGCACCAAGAGGAGGGCTCCTCCTCCTCCCTGTGGAGCCACCAACGACGCCCAAAGTGATGCTGCAGGTAAACGGTTTGCTTTTCTATCTAATGTCACAACTAACCTGCAACTGTAAAACATTTCAAAAAGGGGTATGAGTACTTTAGTGAGACGCATCAGATGTTCTTTTTCATTTCAGTTTATTTATATAGCGACAGTTCACACAACACGTCATCTCAAGGCAGTTTACTATGGAGGATAAAAAGTGCCAAAATTAAATAAATAAATACAGCATTAAATAAATAATTAAATGTGGAATTAAATAAATAAATGTGTCATTCATTAATTAAAACCCCGTCACTAATATAAAGTGCCACAATTAAATAAATAAATACAGCGATAAACAATTAATTAAATGTGTAATTCATTAAATAAATAAGGAATTAAATATATAAATGTGTCATTAATTTAATAAAATACGTCTTCATTTAATTAAAAAATCCTATATATTTATTTCAGTGTGCTTTTAATTATTTCATGGTCCTGTGTCGCAGTGCATCGAAACCGTTAAAAGAATCTGTCAAACTCACCCATCAAAGTTAGGGGGCGGGGTTAACGCAAATCGAGTCTCTGTAATCGATTTGCTTCGCCTTAATGTACAGAGTGACCAATCAGGTGTTAGATAACCGCCCCCTAACTGACCATGAAATAATTAAATGCACACTGAAATAATTATATATATTTTTTTATAAAATGAAGATGTATTTTATTAAATTAATGACACATTTATATATTTAATTCCTTATTTATTTAATGAATTACACATTTAATTAATTATCGCTGTATTTATTTATTTAATTGTGGCACTTTATATTAGTGACGTGGTTTTAATTAATGAATGATTTATTTATTTAATCCCACATTTAATTATTTATTTAATGCTGTATTTATTTAATTTTGGCACTTTTTATCCTCCATATTTTACAGTCCACCAGATTATACAGTCAAATCTATTCAGAGTTTTCTATCTAAGGAAAACCAGTTGATTGCATTCAAGTGATTAAATCTTTGCTGTAATATTCCCACACTTGAAGGGTTGTATCAAGCTGAACATTTACTGGATTCCACTCAATGAACAAACTGTTGTTCTTTTCCTTTTTTAATTTTTCTTTTTGTGTTGTTTACAGTTAATCATTAATTAAGCAGGTAAAAAACCTTAAAAAGACGAAACCAAACGAAACCTTTACCATATTGCACATTGTAAGAGTCAGTTCTGAGAAATGTATCATTAGATATATTTATGAAAATAGACTATGGTTTTACCTTTAAGTTAAAAACATTTAGTTTTTAATTATCATAAAAATGCATAAAAATACTAAAGCATTTTAACAATGATTTATGCAGGTTATTGAACCCCATAGATTACATGAATTCCTAAACAGTGATAGTAAACAACCAGTCAGTGATTTTTTTAAGCACGTTTTAAATATGCATAACACAACCTATGAAGTTTCATTTTAGTTGTGGAATACATAAAGTCCGTTTTAATGACATGCAGGAAGAAAGATGTACAAATTATCCCGTGCAACAGTGTCACAAACACATAAAGTTGGACAGTTTAAATCACAACGTCAAACAAATGACTGAAAACAAGTAACGCCAGCACTTCCCAGACTAAATAAAGCAAGCTTGAAGTAGCCTTACAAGCCGACATTTTCACGATGCATCATGTGAGGATTTACAAGCTTAACCACCCTACAAACGCAAACATTCCCACACATCTCATGCCTCATCAGGGCATTAAATGCAAGCTTACCGGCGAACTTTGCACACCTCTTTCTACTGCCCGAGTAGAACGGCAGACTTTTTATTTCATGCTGTGATCCTCCTGCTCAAACCCGGAAGTGTCTCACCTTATTTTGAGTGAGTGATTGCACGCAGTGCTCACGCTCAAACAGCTGATGTAAACAAAGGGTGGCGTTCACCGCAACAATTGCATCGACTCATTAACTCGAATGCAATACCTCACACTAAGCATGCTTGTAGCGGAGAGGAAAAACTCCCTTTTAACAGGAAGTAACCTCCAGCAGTACCAGGCTCAGATGATGAAGAGAGCACATCCAGTTAGTCACAGTCAGAGAAACAGGACTACACTGGAAAAATAGGCTAATCTCCAACATCTATAAACAAAGGTGTTGATGGCAGCAGCACAGCTGATATTTCTCTCCAGGATGGAGTCACAGCCAGCAAGGAAAAGACGAGGCGAAGCTACTATGAGAAAAAGCAGAGAGAACAGAACGTTAGAGATTGAACTAACAGATTCTGCAGAGTGGGAGAATAGAGATGGAATGATGAAATAGAGATCTCTATGTCCTCCAGTAGTATAAGCCTATAGCAGCATAACTATAGAGATAGCTAAGGATAAGCTGAGCCACTTTTTCTTCCATTTGCTGTCTTTATGGAAATTATTGCCTAAAACAACTGATCAGATTAAACCTCCAGGATTCCTGTAGACATTTGATTTGAGAGGAAATTAAATGGGTTTCCAGCTCGTGATTTTTCCAAATCCTCACAGCCTCGATCAGAGCCACGTGAGCTCAGCGGTGATTCACCTTAAATCAAGATTAAAATGTCACAGCGAATGGCATGAAATGGAAGATTTAGCTGCTAAACCTGGGGTAGAATGTTTTGTCCGAACACTTTAACCCCGTTCAGAGCAATTAAAGTGACTCACGGCGTTGTTCATGGAGCATATTGGCCTCTGCCTCTTAGGAGAGAAATCCCTCTATTGTCCAAAGCTTTCACTCTGCCTGCTGCCTCAGCTCCGAGTTCAGCATCGCTGCTTTTCCCTGATTGCTTTTAGACGATTTTTAGTTTTTAGGAGAAACATCTGGCCGTTTTTTCTAAGTGATCCAATTAACGATTAAATTGCTTAGAGCCAAGGTCTGGTTCCCCCTCCCTGAGTTAAAGCTAACATTTCGCCTTGCTGAGCTGGTGTTGGTGCAAGTCTGGAAAAACAACTCCTAGTGAAGAGTTTACGGTCAATGAATGTACTCCTCGCCTCCCTTAATCTAAAAGCCAATCTATCTGTAGTTTGTGAGATTTCCTATCCAGAATGGCTGCTGTTTGTGAGCTGCTTTATGTTGAACCTTTAGACTGAAGCGGAGCTCTTTCTCCTTCCTGCTTACAGACTCTGTTCCTTGAAGGGGGTGATTGCGGGGAGTCGCTTTCCTCTTCTCCTTCCAACACCTCTCTTCCTGTTTCCCCCCCTCCCCTGCACCGGCTTCTTCCTCCTTTATCCCGTCTGGCTTTCATGGATGTGTCACTATTGCCTTTCATTATAAGTCCTTTCTGTTTACATTTTTTTTTAACCTGTTTTAAAAGAAAAAAATGCTAATTTTGCCAAGAATTTTAAAACTTCTTATGGTGCTTCTTGATTACAATCTATAATCAATATTTCTTAGTTTAAAATTATATTTTGTTTTCCATCTTTACCTAATGTTGTCATTGCAGCTTGTTTTTATTAGTTTTAATTATTCTTACCCTTTTTCATATTTAGTTTTGTCAGTTTTTGTTTTGTAAATTTCAATTTATTGCTTTTAAAATAAAAGTAAAAGTAATTTAAATATGGACGATAATATGAATTCATTTTGTTTTTAACATGTTTCTTTTAAAGTTGTCAAATCTTCTCTGGATTATTATTATTATTATTATTATTAATCTGAAAATGAGTTAAGACAGCCTGGGTTTAATGCAGTCATTTTAGTTTAATTTTAAAGCCTTTTCTTTCTGCTTCATTTTCTTTATTTAGTTTTGCATTTTTCAGCATTTCTTGCACCCCAATCACTCCAGTGGGAAGCATCTGTTTGGTGACCTTTTGTCTTGTTAGCATGTTGAAAGTAGCTTCAATTACAAAAGCAGCCACACAAAAAAACATTTATTTATTTTTTTATCCAATAGATCGACGCAAAGTAACGTCATTGCAAAGTTGGGGGAAATATTTCTTTATTTTCTCTTGCATGAAACCTGAAAAGTGCGGTGTTCATCTGTATTTGTCGCTCTTTTACTCTAACGTCCAATTAAACCAGTTGTCTTAAACTTCTGCAGCCTGTAGGGGGCGTTCCTTTAGCTGGAGGTGGTATTTTGCTCCTTATAGCTTCCTGCTCACTCAGACCCACCATCCGTCCAAATTCATTAAATCAGTTAGAACTCTTAAGCCACAGTGGAAGTCTATGGTTGCCATAAATGCTTCAGGACTAGTGCTGCTAGTGATGAAGGAGGTAGGACAAGGAAGTAGGATGCTTCCTAAAGATAGCCCCAGAGGTTTCGATCAACCATTAGGCCACATTTGTAACATTCATGACTAATGGTTCTCCTATCATGGTTAAAATCTCCTTGATAGTCTGTCACTTAAGGTGGAGTAGGAATCTTTTCGGGGGAGAAAACTTTGGGAAAGTTAAATATGTCTGCTAACATTGTGTGCACCTGCTTAGATGGAAACTAACAATAGGTAAATCTGGTACAATATTTATTTGGAGATTCATGTCCCTGAAAAACTAAATTATGTTTCATATTTTGATTGGTTAAAACAATAGGGTTTATTTTTTTTCCTTTTTTCTCCGACTATATTGGTTTATTATATAGAGTTATAGTAAATGCTGTAAGCTTGTGTTTGTTTTGTTGCACAATCAGGAAAATAAAATCCAAAGTTTCTCTAATAAAACAGAAGAAAAACAACATAAATGAGTGTATAAAATATTTGGATTGATTTTGGAAAAACTTTGGAGAGCCTCTTTATTTTTTTTAAATAGTTTTTCTATAGCAGATCTCAACTTTTTTGTCCCCCTCCCATATTTCCTCTGGTCTAAAGAGTCCCTGAAAACCGTGGAGGAGCTGAGAGAGACAGATAATTCCCAGCCGCACTCATCCTTGGCCTCTTCAAGCCCTTCGCTGGCTCGTCTCCAGGAAATACCCGACTCCTATCGGCCTTCGTTTCGAGGCAAAGACCTATCAGACGCCCGCTCTGCTCTCGCTAAAGTCCTCACATCTTCGGTTTCCAAAGGGACGCTGGTGAGGCGCCTGAGAAACTCTGCCGGTTTCCCAAATTTCCATGTCTCCTCGTGCATGTCTGCGGCCTCAAAGTGTCCAGATGACGGCGATTTCTGCGCAGAGCGGGAATCGGTTTTCAGATCCAACCTCCCGACTGAGAACGAGTGGGAGGACCAAGTACAGAGGAGCGGACTGACTACCTTTAAAGTTATTCCCCCAAAGAAACCAGCATCCTGTGATCCCGAAATGATGGATCAGGATCAGGAATCAGTTCTTCCTGAGGGGAAGGAAGATCCACATTCCTCCAGCAGATCTGAGAGCAGAACAGGGATTAACTGCTCAGAAACGTATGCTAACGAAGTGGCTGACGGCTCAGTTTCTGGTTCACCTTTAGAGGAAACTCAGAACTGTTCTGACTCACCCTTGCTTGATGACGGGGAGACTCATGAAGACCAGAACCAAGAGGAAGAACCAGAGAACCGACTGGATGGAGTCCTGCCTGCGCTACTGGATGGTTGTGATAAGGAAGCGACCAACCATGATGGTGGTAATTCAGAACATCTAAGTGAGTTCTATCCAAGTCTGGACATGGTTCCGTTGAGTTCGAATACTGATGGAAAATCTCAGGAGGATTTTTCACGTGAGGAAGCTGCCTTCCCCTCTCCTCCTCCACCGGTTGAGTTTAGTGAGAACATGGGAACTGGAGAAGAAGAAGCTTCATTTCCATCATGTGGAACCGCCGCTCCCAGCATGAATGGGCATAGGAACGCATCCGGCGAGGCTGACGACAGTGGCTCTTCCTCAGCTGCTACTGAGCCGCCTGCGGGCCAGACAAAGGTGGCCCCGTCTAGATTTGCGCAGGCGGTTGCCATGGCCGTGCAGAGATCCCGCCTGCAGAGACTAGGCCTTGGAATCGGCTTCGGACCCCAACTCTCCGGACGCCCAAACGTTTCTGTTCCATCGCCTCCCAGGTCTTCATATCAGTATGGTAAGTTCCCTGCTGTCAGTGCCTTACCCTAAAAAAAAATAATTTTCATTTAATTAAATGTTATAAATGAAATGCAGCTTTGCACATAGTTTCTACCATCTTTGCAGGTCTAGAAATAAACATTTTAAACCAGTTTTTCTTTGCTTAATATATCAGTAATTGGGATCATCTGTCTACATTATTCCCATCATCATTGCTCCAGGTTCCCTGTTCCTGCCGTACAGTATCTAGTTTCCCCACAGCATGATTCTGCCACCGCCATACTTTACTGTGAGGATAGTGTGATAAGCGTTTAAATGTGAGCAAAGTTGGTCCTCAGGTCTGCTCGCCTGCAGGTTCTAGAGGTTTCCCTGCTGCGACACAGCTGATTTTCATTGATTGCTGACCAACAGACTCTGCGGAGCTAAAATCATCAGAATCGGCTGTGCTAAGGCAGGGAAACCTCTAAAATGTGCAGCACAGCGGCCTCTAGGACCGACTTTGGGCACGACTGATCTAACCAGTACACATTCTTACTCCTAATAGTTCTGACAGCAAATCTCACCTTAGCTGTGCTTTGATTCGTCCTGTTAGTTTAACCAGACTCTGTATTGGTCATTAACAAACCTTTAAGGCCTTTCTGGAAAAGCTGCTTTACAAACTTCAGTATCTAAATATCCGTCCCTTTCCAACCAGATAATACTCTGCTTTGCATTAGTTACGAAGTTAGTTAAAATCCTAGTTGAACAAACTGAATTAGTGATGCTTACTTAACAAAATGTGGAAAAGATCACCATGAATTGATGCTCTTCATCATCTAATGGGTTTTCGTTTTTGTTCCACAGGTGCCTGATCTGCGCCTGCATGTCGTCCTAAGAGGTTGAACCTTCAGGACTCCCTAAGGACACCAGGGTCCCTGTTTGACCTGACCTTGCTCCTTTAGCTTTGACAGCTTAGTTTTCCTGCAGTTGTGTTTTTTTATTTTCTGGTTTTTACTTTTTATATGTTTGAACGGAAAAAGTGCTGTGGAGCTCGCCAAATGTACAGATATGAGTGACTGAGCTTCGAGTATATTTTTAGTTTACTTCATAAATTATTTTAAGACTGTGCCAAAATGCATACTAAGCTGATATGACATCTTTTCTTTCTGTTTTTTTTTTTTTTTTTGTTGTATATAACCCCAATGGATAATTTCTACGTCTTATATGAATTATTGTAGAGTAGTTTGGTTTTCAGCCAGCAGGTGGCAGAAGAGTTTTTGTTTTGAAAAATAAAACCCTGGCTGCTTTTATTTGGAAAAAAACATTTTCAAATAATCGTTACTGCTGGATGTATTTTTTTTGTTTAAAGGTGACGCATTCGTTGCATAAAAAAAAAAATTCTAAATGAAATTCTAGATTTGGGCGAGGCATTCAATATTTTTTTTTGTTTTGGGACATGCCTAGAATAATAAAAAATCTTTCTTCATTATTGCTTTTGATAATAAACAAATTGAAGGGGGGGTGAATCAACTTTCCTGTTTGAAGCATCGGTTTTATGCCAAGCATTTCATCGCTCCTGTGAGTAAACTCAGTCCACTTTGCTCACATGCACTCACTGTTGTCTTCAGCGGACCCATCCATACCTTGGGGCAATACTGCACAGCTATACTTGGGTGCCAAAAGAATCCGCTCTGCTGTAAGTATCGATCCAGCCGTGGCCTTGGAGGAACAGCAGGGAGCTGTTTGAGCTGGAGACCCAGCCAGAACCGCCTGTGGCTAAAGCTCCCAGTTTGCCAGGCCTGGACTGAGTGGGCTTGCTTCAAGACTCCCTCTTTCTCTCTCTGCTCTATCTGAAGGCAAAGAGAGGGAGAGGAGGGCGAGTTGCTGGAGGATGATGGGGGGGGGGGACCGTTGACCCTGTCGTGTTTCTGCAGTGCTCTCCCTCCAGAGGAGGCGCATGGCCCTCAAGGGCAGAGTTGTGTTGCACTGCCATTGTCATGAAGAATGCCATCAAAGCCCCTGAGGGAGGGACCCACACTCAACATTTTAGCTTGGATATGTTAGTAAAAATATACAGAACAGGGCCTCTGAAGCCTCTTTATTCATGCATTCGGTCTAAAGGCGTATAAAGTTTTAGGTAAGTAGCTTTTAGACTGCAGAAAAGTTGCTTCTGCCAAACCCGAACTATGACGTCCAGCATAAGTGACAACTTTGGTATTATCGTTTGATATATGAAAAGGTTGAATCCCAACAAGAGCACTTATGCTCAAATTTTACAGACAAAAAAAAGAAAAGCTGCATCTTCAGTGCAGGAAAAGACGAAATGCTACCGTGTCATGGTGAATTATTTTACAGTGTGATGTGACGGCGTTATTGGATGAGCAGCAGTAGGAACGTGGAGCAAATGAGAAGCACTGGTGGGTAAATACTGAGGTATGAGATGGCTTAAAAGATATGCTATCAAAAAATGTTCAGCTTATAGTTCTGATGGGTAAAAGATTATATTGAATCAAGTGCAAAAGCTTCCCCTTGCGGCTGCACACTGCTGCCCAGCTACCTGAAAGAGGCTGACAGTTTTCTTGAATTTACAAAAAAAGATGGCTGTTTATAGATAATTCTGGTTGTAAAAAGTAAGGGAAGCTAACTTTTTATAGTAATGCTGCTGGTAGGTCATTAAAGCGGCTAAATGCTAGCAAAAGGACGCTTGTTTGCAGAAAAAATAAACCCATTTATTACACAATAAGCTCTTCAACTGCTACCAAACGTATTTTGTTAATGAAAATTTCCAAATACAGTTGTGAATGTTTAAAGGTATATTGGAGGATGTTCTTTTTCCGGGTGGATCATCAAAATAAGTGGTCCTCCTGATTGTCAATCATTCTGGTGATGTGTTTACGTAAGGCCGTCCTACGTTCTCGTCCCCATTTTCACTTACCGGTGGTGAGTCTGACATGGTGAAAAAATTGCAAATCTTCCTCTGGAAAGTAAGCTTATATGAGTGATTCAACCAGAACTTGTTGGAAAGCTTAACAGCAACTTCTTAAAAAAAAAAGGTTAGTTGCTTCTATGCTACAGTATGAATATATATATTTTTTGCTAACTTTTTATCTACAATCATATCTGTTTTTATAAACTAATATTTAATAAGTAGAATGTAAGAGGCTCTTGAAGGCAAGTTACTACTAATTACAAGTACTTTAAGGAAATAAAAGGCCCTTCAACACTGGGGCAGTTTCCCCCACATGCCCCCCTGTAGATCCGTCCCTTGTAGCAGGGAAGTCTGATCTATCCATCTGGTTATATTGATATAAACACACTTTCCCTAGTAGCTTTGTTGGAATGTGGATGAAATATACAGTAAAGACTTTTATCAAATATGTACAAGAGGAAAAGTTGTAGTACTCCACAGTTTAAGCTGGGGGGGCATGTAGATGTTAGACTTAGACAAACTTTATTGTCATTTTGCAAATTCTGTTGCATACAGCTTACATAAGGGAAATAATATTGCAGATGGAGTAAAATAAACATTACCATTATGAACTGCAGCAGATATCAGTATGTAATATCTATTAATATGAAAAGGTACAGTGCAATGCAAAGCAGCTATGGTGCAAAATGCAGCATAACATTGAGATGTTTCCTATTTAAAAGGATTTTAAAAGTTCATCCACCTTAATAGTGCAAAATAATGTTGCAGGAGGCTCCAGTTTAGAGCTTTAAGGAGCCTGACAGCTTTAGAAAGCTGGTGCAAACAGCTGAAGTCAGAGATTCTGGATTAATATCTGGACAGACAATTATAAAATGCTTTTTATCATAGCAACTATGAAGCACTGAGGAGAATTTGTCATGGTTTGGGTGGGGACGCTTTGCTTTAAAATCATCTGGCCAGCTCACCATGCATCCAAGGTGCTTTAAGAGACTGAACCAATCTATGCAAACACTTTATCAGCAATATTATAAGGTAGTTGCATTTATTTGACTTTTAATGTTCCGATAATTAGTCAAAAACACTTTGAGGAAAGTGATTGATGGTTCACTTTTTAAGATCTACAAGTTTTTTGGTATTCCTCTGGCAAACCTGAACTGGGATACCTGTTCTCTCTTTTAATAAAAGACTGAAATAGAACTAATTTAATAGTTTTTATTTTGGTTTTATTTCTTTTTCTTTTATAAATGATCCAAACTTTACTTTTGCCTTGTCACTGAAATGTTCCCAAACAGTTCTGGATTAAAAGGTTTCAAAGTCCTGCACTCAGAAATGTGTTTTAACCTGAAAATCAATGACTAGAAAACTTAATAAACTTTGTCCAGATTTGATAAGATTTTATGCTGTTGAAGTTTAGAGGTTATTTTATTTTAGTAATAAAGTCTGACTTGGCTTACACTCTGCATCGTGAGTACTCTCCAAAAACTCAAACCTAAATCAATACCATAATAGCTGGCCCACACAAGTGGAGGTAATGCACATTTAGCATTTATTTATTCCTTCATCTTTTCATTCATCTCTATTTAGTTCTCCATCTGATGTATCTGGCTTGTGGTTAGAGAATGCCCACGAGCTGCGAGGAGTCGGAATCTGATTATAAAACAGTAACTAGGCCCGAGGCCAGCTTCACTGGATCCAGCATGTCTGATGTGTATAAGGGGCGCACATGTGCAATCGCAGACTGCTAATATATGTGTGTTTACATGGCAC